TACTAGATGCCGAAATTCAGCATCGAAAAGTTCGATGACTACAACAAGGCGGACACCATCAGTTGGTGCAAGGTTTCACCAACGAGCTCTCCATTCACTCGGTCCCGCCAGAATCAAAGATCTCAGCTCTTTACCTTTGCAGCACCGGTGCCAGCCAAGTGTGGCTCAACCACCTGACTCAAACCGAAGGCGTTGAGGTCGCCAAGCTCTACACCAAGATCACTTGGGAGGCCATGACCGAGAAGTGGCGGAAACACTTCATCGTCGACAACGCTCAAGGCATACGCGTGAACCAGATCTTCAGCATGCACCAAGGCAACCAGTCAACATGCTAATGGCTAAACGAGTGGCAAAAACTTGTCACGATTCTAAACCAGGATATGACATTCGTGCATCTCCGTCGATTGATGCATTGAGCACGACCCTCGGGGAGCGCAGCCTGTACACGAACTTTGACCAGATCATGGAAAAGGCAATCGAAGTAATCCAAACAAATCAGTGGGCCGCCAACGAGCAGCGCAGCCAACCAAATTTTGTGGAAAAGGGCAAAGGCTCGCGAACGCAGCAAGTCGCTGCTGTTGATGGACAAGAGGACGACCAGGCATCGAGTCACGAGTCTAGTGAAGGAGATGGAATCAATGCCCTTCCGCCATGACGTAACAACAAGAAGAAAAAGGCGAAATCCGCATCAACAACGGAAGCCGAACAGCCAAATGAGCCATGGAAGAAGTTTCGCCTCACAAAGGAGCAATACAAGCTCCGCCAAAAGTGGAATTGTTGCTATTGGTGCAATAGCACCAAGCACACGACGTCGCAATGCCCCGACAAAGGCAAAGAAGACGTCCGTCCACGACAAAGCTCGGGAAAACTGAGCTCCACGGGAAGCGAGGCGACTCCACTTCCTACTCCGTCGGACATGGTTGCCTTGCTAGCAACCTCGTCCACGTCCGGGGAACATGCGTATGTCGCAAGTCTTCAAGAAAGTTACGAAGACTAAGCTGTCCAACTGGTCTCTTTGTTGGACCAACCTCTCCTCGTGCAAAAGTCATATGCGTGCACAACTTCATCACCATCGCCAAGTGAACCAGCATCCTCTCCGACACTACTTGAGGACTCGTTGGTATGGCTTAGACTTGAGGACCTCGACCCATTGACGCCGGAGGACTTCAAATGGACGCCTCTTCCCCCATCTGGTTCCTTGTTGAAGCCACATTGCAACGCCTTAATGGCAAAACTGCGCAACTATTGGACGCTGCAGTACCAACTCCGGTAATGGAAGACGGAGTAGCGGTTGTTGACCTTCGCGAGTACATTGCGAAGACTGGCCGCGAGTACGCCATGCAACGGTACAACAACATCGACGCACCGTTACTCTACGTCCGCATTCAGATCGGGAAGGCGATCTGCAGCGCCTTGATTGATTGTGGAGCTACTCGCAACTACATCAGCCAAGACTTCATGGCGCGCGTCGGCCTTGGGCTGCGCGTTCGAAGGAAATCATAGCCCACGCAAGTCACATTGGCCGACGGTCGTACGCACAAGTCCATTGAACAGTGTGTTGACTCCGTCCCCGTGTACTTCGCCCCGCATGCGCGCGAGGCCATGTCCTTTGACATATTGGACCACAAAGTTCGACATGATTTCGGGCATGTCATGCACCGTGCACATTCACGACCGAAACAGGGTACTTGTTCCATGTACGGTTCCCCCACCTCACCCTTCGATGGGTTGTCACCTGGTCTCCGTGGCAGGCATTCGCAACTCCATCGCACGGAACGACATGCAGGAAATGGGCATTTGCTTCTTGCACACCCTCCCTCCTCCCGACGCACCAGCGGCGGAGCAGCCACCGGATCCACGTATTGTGGAGCTTCTTGACTCCTACGGTGACGTCTATAAAGCCCCCGCCGGAATCATACCGAATCGATTCGTCACAAGACCATCCTCGAAGACGGGGTCGTACCTCCGCGTGGATGTATCTGCCGCATAAGTGAGGAGGAACTCGAAGTGCTACGAACGAAACTCGATGACCTCATTGACAAGGGCTGGATTCGCCCTAGCTGCTCGCCCTACGGGGCACCAGTTCTCTTCGTCCAGAAGAAGACCAAGGAGCTGCGCTTATGCATCGACTATCGTAAGCTTAACCGGACTTTGGAAGAGCACATTGCGCATCTACGTACTGTTTTGGACAGGCTACGTACTTCCAAGTACAAGGCTAACCGAGCAAAGTGCGAATTCGCACAACAAAAGCTCGAGTACTTGGGGCAATTTGTGATGCTGCAAGGCATCCGTCTGCTCGCCGACAAGATCAAGGCCATCCAAGATTGGCCGGAGCCGACCAACACCACGAAAGTTCGCTCTTTTATGGGATTGGCGGGGTACTACCAACGCTTCATCGGTGGATACGCATACATCACCGCACCCTTGTCAAGATTGCAGTCTCCAAAGGTGCCCTTCCATTTCACCGACGAAGTCCGAAGTTCGTTCCATAAATCGAAGACGGCGTTGCTCCTCGCTCCCGTCTTGAGTATCTACGATCCCACCTTGCCCACGAGAGTGACTACGGACGCTCATGGGTGCAATTTTGGAACAACACGACAGAGTAGATTGGCATCTGGTTGAGTACTTGAGCCAAAAGGTGCCTCCCATCAACTTGATTGATGATGCACGAAAGGAGTTGCACGCGTTCGTCACGGTACTCGAGCGTTGGCGACACTTCCTCCTTGGGCGTCGTAGGTTCACTTGGGCTACGGATAACAACCCATTGACCTACTACAAGATGCAAGACACGGTGAGCAGCACGATCGCTCGATGGATGTACTTCATCGACCAATTCGACTTCACACAAAAACAGATTTCGGGCCTCTCCAACCGAGCTGCAGATGCTCTCTCACGAAGATCAGATCTTTGTGCATTGACTCACCACGCGTTTAGCTTCGACGACGCCCTTCATCAGCATTTTGTGCGAGCATACAAGTACGATCCGGAATACGCCACGCTCTACGAGCAACTATCCTCGGATCACCCGCCAGCCAGCCATTATCGCGTCGTTGAGGGCTACTTGCTTCTTCCCTCACGAGGCAAGGACGTACTACGCGTCTCACACGGCCATCGCTTACGGCTACTTGCTTCTTCACTCACGAGGCAAGGACCTGCTAGGCGAGTACCACGACTCGCGACTCGCCGACCACTTCGGAGTCAACCATACGATTGCAAGAATTCGGCAACGATTCTGGTGGCCCGACCTCATCACCGACGCCACTCGGTAATATCGACTCTTGCGAAGTTTGCCGACAAAGCAAAACCCACAATCGCAACCCCTACGACGATTTACGCCGGTTGCCTATGCCGCGGGAACCCGGCCTCTCCATTGCTATGGACGTCACCGGCCCGTTCCCCCCCGACCGCTTCGAGCACGGCGACATTCTCACGATCGTTGACCGTTTGAGCGTACGCACAATTTCTTCCTTGCAAGTACTCCGCCACGGCTCCCGAGCTTGCGCGACTCTTGCATACTGGCTGGATTTGCACCCACGGCGTTCCCGAAGACATCGTCAGCGACCGCGAGACTCGTTTTATGTCGGCATTTTTGGACTTCTCTCGTGAAGGAGTCCGGCACCGAGATGAAACCAAGTTCGGCTTGATATCCACAAACGGACGGGCAAACAGAGCGGGCACATCAAACCGCTCAAATGGTGCTTCGCACACTCATCCGCACGAATTAGAAGGATTGGGTTGACCACCTCTCCGACATCGAATTCGCCTACAACACTTTGTTGCATCCGACGATCGGCCGACTCCATTCGAGTAGCACCACGGTGGCAGGAAAGGCCGTACCTTCGTTGATCTTCCATTTCCAAGGACTGCCGGCATTGACGCCACTTGCTCTCCTGCCCCTGTTCGGAAGTATCGGGACTTGCTGGCTAAAGCCCGCGCCAACATGCAAAAGGCCCAAGTCCGCATGCAACAGCAAGCCAATCGGCGTCACGTGCCATGCCCTATCCGCGCTGGCGACCTTGTTTGGGTCTCCACGGAGGAGTTTGCACTTGAACAAGAAGTCTGGCGCAAGCAACTTCCTAAGTGGTTTGGACCATGAACCGTCATATCAACCGCGGGTGATGAGCCCAATGGCCCTTCTTTTGTGATCCACATCCCGCCGCATCTACCGGTCCACCCGATCTTCCATGCCTCCAAGCTGGCCACATATACACCAGCCAAGAGCGACGACTTCCGGGGCCGATGATCGCAGGACGCTCCTATGGATGGTCATCAGGAAGTCGATCGCGTCATCATGCATCGCAAGCACGACAACAAGCCAATGCAGTACAAGGTCACATTCAAGTGGTGCAACCGCTACGATACGTGGTGGATTTCACGAGCAGCCTTGCAAGCCTCCGCACCGCTTATCTACATCGAACATGAGAAGAAACGGCTACCCACGGAAGCTGCAACGCCTGCCCCTCCGACCTGGACTTCGATCCCTCTGTCCAACATACAGCTTCACCCTTGCAGGTAAGCCCGGTCTTTCAAGGAGGGAGTGCGGCTTACTTAGTTCCACACGGGTCCAGCAGGGCCCGACCAGGTAGGCTAGGGATCCGTAGAGGTAGGGTCTGTGTCGTTTCGACCCTCGGTAGGGTCCACAGGGTCGATAGGCCGGGTTTTAGGCCTGAGTAGGACCGGTACCAGTTAGAGGCCCAGTAGGCTGCGTTTCGGCTACAGGCCCTGGCGCACGCTTTGGCGCTAGACCCTGACTCGGGCGCCGGACTTTTGAGGCCCAGCCTCAGTTTGAGCGCCATGACAGCAGTTGAGGCCGACCCAGCACTATATATACCTAGGTCCGGCCTCAGTCACGACATTCAGTAGAGGATCGAGGTGAGGCATACTTCGAACGACGACCGTGCAGTAGCAGTTGACGATAGGACTAGTCTTCCAACGCTGGGTGCTGATAGAGAAGAGTAGCGCAGGGAAGGAGAGATGGTGATGGCGGCCAAAGGACTTACCTGAGACTTACCTGTGTGGCCATTGCTCCAGCTTCGTCTCCAGCACATCCGCACCTGCATCAAGGCACCACCTTTCGCATGTCAGTACCTGGTATATAGAGAGAGAGAGTTCTTCTTCTTCCTCCTCCAGTCCACCACCTTCTTCTTCCCTTCCCAGCACTCTGACTTCTTATTATCCAGTTGTGTGTGTGTGTGTGTGTGTGTGTGTGTGTGTGTGTGTGTGTGTGT